AGGTTCAGGGTTTCTTTTAGAGGTGATAAATGTTTTAAGATAAATATGGTGATAGTTGGACAAATCTGTAAATAAACCAAAAATTACTGAATTGCAGAGTTCAAATGGATGAACTGTATATGAATTATAGCTCAAGGTTATCTTTTTAAAATATAAATAAGGGAAGAAAACATACTCAAATGCCAGATGAAAAGTAATGAACCATATAAACAGAATTGGAGAGAACCCTGGGGTTGCATCACTAAGTTTTAATTAAATTGTTTCTTAAGTTGAGAATTTGTCCCTACTTTTCTGTTTCCTTAAGGATTAGTAAATTGTTCTTGTCTTCAGATTTCCATGGAAATATTTGCTTATTCTGCTTATCCTCAGAGCAGTGTGTTAAACTGAATAATGCCTTCAAAGATATCAGGTCCTAATCCCTGGAATTTGCGAATATTACCTTCCATAGCAGAATGACTATGTAGATGTGATAAACTAAGGATACTGACATGGGGAGATTATCATGGATCATCCAGGTGGGTTCTAAAAGCCATCACAATTATCCTTGCAAAAGGGAAGCAGAGATTAAGTACAGATGAGGAGAAGGCAATGTGACCTCAGAGGCAAAGACTGGAGCGATGTGGCCACCAGCCAAGGAATGAACAACTAAGGGAAGCTGACCACAGACAACCAATGAATGCTGGAGGAGCGGAGGAAGGAATTCTCCCTTGGGCCCTCCAGCAGGAACCAGCCCTGCCAACACTTTGATTTTTAGCTCCATAAGACTCAAGACTTCCCGCTTGCAGAGCTGTAAGAGAATAAGTTTATGTATTAAGTCATTAACTTCGTGGCAGTTTGTTACAGTGGCAATAGGAAACTAAGGCAGTTAGCAGTGCTGTACTGTGTCTAAGATTAAATGATCCTGGGAGGTACTGAGAGAGATAAATCTTATTTACATATGATATTTGGGGCTTGAATATTTGGTTGCTTGTGAGGTCTAGTTACCTTTCTCTGGTATATTATTATAACAGTTTAAGTGATGATTCTCCATTTTACATGTCTTACCTTGCTTTAATACTCCAAGATCTAAAATCCTATTTGGAAGAGGTGAGTTATTTGTTTTGGGACAAGTCCTTGCTCCCCTAAACAGGAGAATAGATTTCCGGGTCTCAAAGGATCCTTGGTCACCTAGTGGTTAGTTTATCTTTATTCTATAGCTGAGTCACCAGACACCTGGAAGGAATAGGTGACCTGCCAAAGCTCATCTGGTTAGGCAGTGGCAAATGTTCATTATGACTGCCATGCCACTGATCTTTAAAAACTAGACATATGGGACTTTAACTTGTTGGAGAGAGAAGAAGTTTAAACTGACATGGACATGTTTTAGATTTAGTTTTCTAGTGCCATTAGTTAGCCATTACAGCTAGGGTCCCTCTGGAGCAGAAAATCCTACTCTTAATTCAAACCTTCAACCTCATTCTGACCTCTTCTTCCATTTATGAATCAAGTTCTGTTAGCTTCATGTGGGGCCTCCCAGTCTGGTGAGGTTCATCTTCTAGGATGGTGGAACTTTGTTTAGGAAGCACAGAAGGTGACTGGGGTAACTCAGAGGTGAGGGATCAAGATAACCACTTAGAACAAAAAAGGCAGGGCTCAGAAGAGAAGTTTACGGTCACAGATTATTGGAGGCAGAATTGAGCAAAGTGCCTGATGAACTCTGCAGAATTTAGTGTCTGGACACCTACTTTTGAGAAAAAGCAGTGTCCATGGTTTGTTCTAATGAAACATTCTATCTCTCAGCTATTAAGGAATAATATATTCAGTCAAAGCAAGAATGAAGCAAGATAAGCACTCCCTACCTTCAAGGTGGGGTGGGGAGAAGACAATAAGCTAATACAAAAATGAATATTACAAGTGCTCATATCCTTTGCACCAGTAACTTCATTTCTAGGAGTCCTTAGGATAATGAGATGTGAACAGTTTTATAAGCAAACATTCACTGCAATACTTATAATATCTAATAGTGGATTTGTTAATAGTACATTTTATACAATAGAACTTTATATAGCCATGAAACATTTATGAAGTTTCATGATATGGAGTTTACATATTGAATGTAAGTGATACAAAACTAGTAAAGGCAGTGTTCTTCCAAAAGTTATAATATATATCAAACAACAAAAAAGGAGATGGAAATGGCTACTAATATGTTGGTTTTTCTGGATGGAAGAATTTGGGAGACCAAGTTGCAAATACACTTTTTTGTTTTTGTTTTCTACAAATGACACTTAAACCAAAAATTTTCCTTTAAATCTCCTTGTTTTTGACAAGCAACAGTGATGGCCTCTTTCCTCCAAACCTGTGTAGTAATGCAATTGCCTCATGAGTTGATACATACTCTCTTATCCGAAGAGAGGATCATTCTTTTTATTGAGAACAAAGGCAGGCTACATGAATAATATCATATCTTATTCAAGACTGCAGTCTGTTACTTGGCATATGGTGGGGTAGGATGAATGAATGCATTCTCTGTATTCTTTTTAAAATGATGTATTGGGGTGATTAATGCTATTGTTACCAATTATCAGTTAAAACTGCAGCTTAATGTTAGGGGGTAGCTTATTTTCTGTTCATACAAACATAAGTTAGCCTTTTTCCTTTGCCCAAGGTGGACACTAACATCCTAGATTAACACCTAGTTGGAAAAAATGTGCTCTATACGGAGTTTGGAAGCTTCAGGTTTTGGTTTTTTTTTTTTTTAAGGATTTTTTCCCCCAAAAGGCAGCATGATTCTTTTAATACATCAAATAAGGTTTTCCTTGGTGCCCATCATAGTGAATGTGCATATGGTGTGGAATAGGGTGAATAATACGGAGTAGCCTTTGGAACTTTAACTTGAAGAAATTCTTCTTCCTGCTTTGAGCCCAATTACTCATTCCAACAGGTAGTATGAACCACGTTTCACCTAATGACCTTCCATTCAGGATTCTTTTTCTCCAACGTTAGCTTTTAAAGGAAAGGCAGAAGCCAACTACTGCTCCTGGGAAGTCATCTTCCCATGCTTAGAAACTCACAGGCCTCTCAAGAGTCTGACTTGGCAGTAGTCAAGACTCAGTTATCACGAAGACCATGGACGAAAGGTATCTCTTTGCTAACTCAAGCCCTCCATCTTATTTTCAATATGCTCATTCATGGAGAGAAGGCAGAAAAAAACCCCCGAACAGTGAGTTGTCTATTTTTGCTAGTGAATTTGAGAGGCCTTCAACTTCTGCAGTTAATTTCAACCAATTGTGCTGTAGGGTTATGGAAGTTCATCACCTCCAGAATCCAGGTCAGAATCTACGTGTGCTTGCCTTAACAGAATGTCAAAAACAGTGAAAACTGGATATAATGGCTTAATGTTGTTGAGTCTAGTTAGCTCCTACATAGGCAAAAAAAGTCATTGAAATTACTTCACAAGTATATTTACACACAACCTTGTCCGTAAATTGGATTAACAAAGTCAAGCTCTGTACTGTATGTTGTCTTTTATTTTAGTTCCTTCAAAAAAAACCCTCTAGCCATGGGAACTGTCATTTTTTCAGCTAAGGAAACAGGTTTAGAATGAAGATAGGACACCTCAAATCCTGTGGTTCACCAATCTGGAGTTCCTAAGGGTCTGCATTCCCTTCTGAGTTGTCTGCATATTGAAGGTGAATTCCTCTGTTATCTAGTAGAACGGTTTTGGCAGCCCCAGGTAAATTTATTGTATGGAAGATCAGTCCTGAGGATACAAGAAAAGGAGTCAAGTTAGGGGGAAAATAAAAATATGACCCCTAAGACATTTATACAATCAGTTGCTTCAGAAAGACTTCAGTTGAAATTTCACCCTTGAATTTATGGAAGTCCTAATAATTAAACCAGGGCAGTCCCCTCATTCTCAAACTGGGGAGCGGGGGAAGTGGCACTCAAGTCACAGGAGCCTAAATGGTGTCTCAGGCATTGTGTGGTTCAGAGCCTGAAATCTTCAAAACAACAAAACTCCCCAAACTTAATGTCCTTATCCGGTTTATCTCATTCAGGCGATAGGGAAACCCCAGTATCAGTTTCCGAGTAGTCATTACAAGGAAATGCACAAATCTCAAGGGCATTTACTTACACTTACCTCTTGCAATGACACTGGGTCACAAGCTGCTTCTGCAGCTCATTTTCTTCAGGTGTGGTGGATTTGCGCACAGTGTGCTTGGACCCAAAACATGCAAAGCGCTGAACAGTTGCTGCTTCCCAAGAGTGTTTGGGGTCTACAACAGACTATACCGAATGCTTGAACTTTTTCTTTTCCTTTGACGTGATGGAGAGCAAATTCTCCGGGGACAATCTAGCGTTCCTAAGAAGGCGCCTCCTGGGTTCCTCTAGCCATGTCCGGGGTTCCGTACGCCAGCGGACACTAAGCTGGATTGTCCAGCTCCGCAGCTTCACCCACTGGAGGAGGGGAGGCACCGCCCCCGAGTCACAGGCCGGCCAGCTCAGAGAGCTCGCTTACACGCTTCCAGCGTCCCCACGGTGCCGCCCCGAGGCCGCAGAGCCTTCACGAAATCTCTCCGGAGAGAAGCAGTGAGTGGCGGCGGCTACCACGCCTCGCATTTCACTGTTAGCATCCTACTGAGAGGTGGGAGGGAACACCAAAGCTCTGTCACTAGAGTGTAGTTCTGCTTTCCTTTACCCAACTGGGAGGGCGCAGAAGCTAACAGAGCTCGCGCGGCGGCAGCACCGGTCGATTTTCCGCCGAGCCCGGCTCGCTCTTCCGCCTGCCCCGCCCCCGGCCCGCCCCTCCGCCAGGCCCACAGGAACCCGCCGCCGCGCCTCTCCCGCGCTTCTCTCCGTCCGTCCGCGGGGGCCTACCTTTTATAGGCGCCGCCGCCAATGAGCGCCCTCCTTTCCTTCTGCCCGCCCGCCGGGCCAATCGCCGCGCCCCTTGTGTAATCTTCGGCTCCTCGGCTGCTCTCGGCTATTTTCGTTGTTGCTGGATATTTCAGGGGCTGCTCGCTTGCAGCCAGAGACGCTGCTTTTTTTCCGGGTTCGGAGCTGTTCCGGATGCTTTAGGCTGCCGGATGTCTGATCTCCGGATAACTGAGGCGTTTCTGTACATGGATTATCTGGTAGGTGCAGGGCAGGGGTGGCGTGTCGCCTGTCGGACACCGGCGTGCCCGGTGTGCCTCCGCCTGGAGGTTCAGCTTTGCTTTCTTTCTTTGGGATGGGATGCCTTTGGGGCTCTTTCCCCCGCAGCGCGCTCTAGAGCTGTGCCGGGACTCGGAGGGGCGCGCGGCGGGGCCGCAGCGCTCGCGGCTGGTAGAACTGACAGGTAAAGGTGCGGCCCGTGCCAGCCTCGCTGCGGGGCGAGGGGCTCGCTGGGCTGCCGGAGAAACGGGGCCGCTCGGCGGGGCGTCCCCTGCCCACCGCCGGGTGCTTTGCTTCCCTCTGAGCTCCCCGCAAAGGACTCTTCTTTCCGGGGAAGCCAGAGTTTCCCGTTTTCTCTTTAGCAGAACTCCAGGTACTATTAAAGAGCTATAACCAGAATGGCTCGCTAAGTGCCCGGCAGCCCTGGTCATTTGGTTGTTATTAGATCTCTAAAGCTCTGACCTCGGTCGCGGTGAGGGTTTAAAAGCACATTACCATAAACTAGTCAGGACTACACTACACTGCAGTCTGACCAGAACTGGACTGGGTAGGGGCCGGCATTGCCCTGCCGTGCCTGTCACGGGTGCACACTGCTTTTGCCCTGTGCACGGACTGGATCCCAGCTATGCTTTTAGGCCAGGCTTGAAGTTCAGATGGGAAAAGTGTCAGCATAATGCTGTGACTGAACGTTATCTTAAAAATAGACTTGAGTGTTTTTTGTGGAATTATGCAAGTATCGTGTATTGTTCCAGGAATTGTGTATTTCCCCAGAGATGCACGTTGGTGTTCACGGGGGTTCTCACTAATAATCAGCTGCGTTCGACCTTACACAATGACAAGGTTTACCTTGTTAGCCGGAACCGCTATTGCAGTGCAGAGTTGAAGTATGTGGTTAAAAGCATTGACCCTCCTGTCATCGTGTTGGACACATGCAGTTGATTCGACTGTAATTGGCCTGGCAAAGATTTGCCTGTGCCTTCTAGGAATTACACTTAATGCTGTACTAAGATTGTCAATCCTTTCATGATCAAGAAACTCTGGACAAACAGTGGTTTTGTAATGTTATATTGTATTTGAGCTTATTCTAGTTTATGTGAAGTAAATGTTCTCCCTAAAGTTTCATTTTTTGATGATCTTGTGGGGAAGGGTGGTGATTAGAGTTAATGCATGACCTTGTGAATGGAGCAGAGTAAAATAAGAGTTCAGATTCTGTTCATTTGTTTATGTCAGTAACTTCCTCTGTCTTGGTGATAAAGAGACATTATGTTATCCACACTGGAGCCAGCTAAGGGGGTTATCTGATTATAAGCATTCTTTAAAATGCAATTGTCATGTGGATGAAGAGAGTTGTCAAATGCTTCTTAAATATTTCCTAAATTAAATTTAACTGATTATTTTGTAGTTGTTCTTATATAATACAGGACTGTAGTTTTGTCTTGCAGTCTGCCCAAGTAAAAGCCAAAGTTTGTTGAGGATAATTGCTTAATAAAAAAGGGTGACATTACCTATACTATTGAAAGGCAATTTTCTATACTTAAATAGTTTTTATAAAGAAAGTTAAGTGGTTCTGATTATTTTATTATTTATTTACTTCATGAGTTTTAAGTGTGCAAACTGCATCACAAAGCTGTTTTTCAGGTCCTAAACCCAACAAAAAGCATTTAGTGAAAGCAAAATTAAACTCTGGTTAATTATTTAGGTTAATTTCTAGATGAAGAGTCTCAGGATGGCTGAATGAATGTGGGTGAAGTTCTAGGTTACTTTTAAGAGCAGATTAATATGTTAATTTACCAACAGTTGTGTCAAAATTAATGAGCTCCAAATTTGACAGGATTGTTTTTTTACCTGCCACAACCCTCCCCCATACACACATCCTTGCATTAGTATACAAATATTTTGAACTTTACGCTTTTTTTTTTTGGACAAGATCAAGTGTCATAAAAATCATTAGCTAATTAGTAGAGATGAGAAAAAAATCTTGAAGTAGGGTACTCTTTATGGTATCGGCCACTATCTCCTGTGAAAAGATTTAAGCAAATACTAAAGTCCATTTTTTTTACTGAAACTGGGCTGGAAAAAGAACAGACCTTCCTGAGGTGGTCTGTCCTGTTTACTTTTTGTTTATCAGCTCAGAAGGTGATGTGCCTCGCATCCTATCTTTCCTCTTTCATTATTGCCTTGCAGATTGACTAGTTTGCTTATATGTAATCTTTATATACTGTTTATTAAAAACCAATTTCTGAAAAATGAAATATTTGGCGACTGTGTCTGGGATCTTATTTTTAAAATAAATCAATTCCTGAGTTCGTTCTCTTAGCTTCTGGAGAAAAAATTTTCCTTTCATTCCGAGTCTGACTCTTCAGATTTTGCTGAGCTTGTGCACTTCACAGGAACCATGGTGTGTGCCTTTTCTTTTTTTAATCGGTGTTTGACTTTCTTGCTGTTGCTGTTGGAAGCTGGAAGAGGGAGCTGTGTGTATTGTCCATTGTTCTTGGGACTGGATGTCATCACTTAACCTTTTTTATTTGGAGGAGAGTGAAAAGGAAGAGAAATGAGAGAAAGGTGAGGTGCTATTTTTAACAGCTTTTAATAGCATTGTTGATATTAAAACAGATGATGAAGCTCTGACTTTAGAGGCTGCTGCCTATTTCTGAGCTGAAAAGAAATGCTGTATCAATTAGGTGCCAGGTAAGGCAATGGATAGGGACAGTGCCTTAATACTTAAGACAGGGTTTTCATTGATTTCAGGTTAGGGAAATAGGGTAAGTTACTAATCCTAAATAATGTGTACCACCCAGTGCCCGATATTTGTTGAATTGAATGAATATGAGACAAAAGGGACAGTCCGATTTACCTGCCAGTTCTAGACTGAGACAAGATAAAATCTGTTTGGATTAGGTGTTTTGTTCTGGGGAATGCAGAAATGTATCCTTTTCTCTTAACTTTAAGATTATCAAGATATAATTTATTTTACCCTGGTCGCAGTTTAAATAGGAAAATCTCAGTTTTCCAGTTGAAAAGGGAATTGGCTTTGGAGGCCACACACCTTTTTCCCATTTTTGTAGGGGCTTCAAGGGTCCTGTTCACACCTGTGAAATGTGACTAAAGATTTTGCTTCTGTTCCAACAGGCTGTACCGGCATCTTTCTATTTCTGCTGACAGGTACAACTACTAAGACCATGGGCAGAACTTTTTGAATAAGATAGGAGAAAATAGTAAAGTTACAATGAAAGAGAAAAAAATGTCTACCAGGTTTTCCTGGGAGATTGGACAAGATCAACTTCTAGATTCATTTCAGTTACACTTTTTTTCTGTCCTGACTCATGTTGATTGGTATGAATTTCACTGTTTTCTCCTTCTGCCATCAAAACAGCAGCAGTAAAATTTATTATGTTTGTGTAATGCCCATGATGATTAAATGAGTCAGTGGAGGGAAATTGATTTATAAACAGCACATGCTTTTCAGATGTAGAATGTTAATGTATTGTGATTATGTTGATGATGTTTGTTATTCTGTTACCTCCTGTGGAAGGTATCAGACTGCTACTGCTCAATGGTAAATAGTGGACTACCTTTTAAACTAGTCTCAGTATCTGGAAAGATTTGGAGTGGTGATCAGCAAGCAGGAAGTCACAAAACTCTTGAGGATTGTTTTATGCCTACAAAAATAAAACCACATTCTGATATTATCATTAATCCATTCAACAAACATTTATGGAACCCCTGCTTTGTACATGGCCCTGAGAGTCAAAGGGGATGAGCCCCCAGCTGGGATCCCCTTGGCTGCAGGATTGGCCGGCGTGTGGCTCTAGCGGAGCCTGTGGCAGGACAGGATGGATAAGGCACAGAGAGGAGAGGCAACTTCTCAAGTGTTCCTTGGTTTTCTAGTAGGTTTCTCTCTTATTTTATATGTGTTTGTTTCTTTTACTATGAACTAAAATGCTTTAGACCTGAAAATGTGAAAAATAAAACTGCTTGATTAGGCTTGGGTGCTAATTGTTAGTGATCATTGCACTTGTATATTGCATTTGGAATTTAGTAAGGCCAGGGTTCTAGATTTCTCCCGTGAATGGATTGGTGAACCTGGCTTAGTTTCTTGGTCACAGGCTGTAGTTGTAGCTGCCATTATGTGTCAGTGTAGAGGATCAGTTGAGAGACAGCAGATGGATCAGCATAAATACATCATTATTTTGCAGGTCATAAACCAACTAACCAACTAGCCATGAAAAGAAACTCATGGTATGCTACAATGGACAGCGCCTGTAGGTATTATTGAATGGGCTCATTTAGAATGTCAGAGAGTGAAGGCACATTTGTGATTTATGCCACCATGTTCAGTTATCCTGTAAGTGTGCTGTTTTTAACCCTGAATGGCTATGAACATTGAAAATTTTATGCTCTGACTATGATCAAACTGGTTATAAAGTAACAGTATAGGCCAAACATTTTTTAGTCTAAACTGCAACTGCATTAATCCCATAAATATTTCTTTATTGATAAATCATAAGATAAAAATAATGCAAACATAATAAACAGATCTATCACCTATGGAGTTCTCATAGCAAAAAAGTTTTGAGAGTATCCATACTATTAGGCGGGAATTTTGGTATAAAGGAGTTAGCTTGGTTCTCCAGCTTCCACGGCTCGAGTCTTGCACTGTGTGTCCTGGGAGAGGACACACAGGGGACATGATTCATGCGCTCTGGGAGCTTACTGCATTCTGAAGGATGCCTAAGCCATGTACTTACTAGCATGCTGGGGCATGAGAAGAGTTAAGCATAGGAGTTGTGAGGGTAAACTTAGTTAATATTTATTGAGTACTTACTGTGTGCGATACAACATTGTAAGTGCTTTCCAGGCATAATGGCCTTAAACCGAGGCTTGAAGAGATTAACTTCCCCAAGCTCAGATAGCTAGCAAGTAGTAGAGTTGGGGTCCTGGCTGGAAAGCCCTCCCTCTTCACTGCCTTCTTTCTAACTTG